GTGGGAGGAGCGGGGTTGGCGGTGGGATGAGCGGGGTAGGCGGTGGGCGGAGCGGGGTAGGCAGTGGGAGGAGAGGGGTAGGCAGTGGGAGGAGCGGGGTTGGCGGTGGGAGGAGCGGTGTAGGCAGGTAAGTCCTGGATGGTTGGCGGCGGTGGCGGCAGTGCCGTCAGCAGGTGCGTCTTTGATGTCAGTGGTGTTGGACTCGGAAACGGAGGCAGTGGCATCAGCAGCGGTGTCGATGGCGTTCACTGTACCGGAAGTGGCGTGCCCGGTGGCAGTGGATGTGACATCATCCGTGGGTGCTCCGAAAGTGGCCACATGGCCAATGGTGGCGGCACATTTTGGGGAAGGTCCTGGGTAGGATTTGGGGGGGTGGAGGATGCCGGTGTTGGGTGGCAGGCACCAGTAAGTTTAGTGTACTTATGGTTTTTAGTGTCCTGTAAGGCAGAGTAGAATCGTGAGTTGAGGTTGAGGATCCTGTGAAGAATGAAAAACAGGAGAAGTCCTTTGCAGGCCTGGGAGAGGAAGTACAAGTGTGTACTTCCTAGCTTTGAAATAATTTTGGAGTTTATATTGTGTGAAGTTGGCAGCAAGATGTCTTTCAATTTCATGATTAATTCCATGGAAACATGCACAAATTTTTTTCAATTCATCAGCAATTTACATATGCTCCTACTTATTATTGTAGCTATGCACTCAAGCTCAGTCAGGTACCCCAGACTTTTAAAAGCAGGGACAACCATATATATATTTCTGCAAATGGGTGTATGTCTCGATGTAGATATGTGAATGTATGAAATGTGCGGCAACTTCATTTCATACATGTGGCTCAAGTATACAGAGAATATAAAAAGACTTATGTTTGTAAAGTGCCTTATCAGTTTTTTTCAGAGTAGTCTTAAAGCTACTGAGCAATCAATTACTTTGAAGTTCTGTAACGGTAGGGATCTTGAACTAAGCTTCAATTCAGATTCTCAATACTGCCTTTGAACTCATCCTGACTGAACAGTGGGTTCCTTACAGACGCATGTTGCCAGTATTCTGCAATCTGCAGGTATATGCAGCGCACACATGCATGCATGCATGACTTACTCAGTACTGTCAGCCGAGCAGGCTGGGATCGCAGGGCTGCATGTGTTGCCTGACATTCGTACACTGCATCATCAATAAGTTCTGCTTTCTCGATGCGGAGGCTGTATTCACCAGCTGCATGGTCTCCCACAATGGAATAACGTGGAAAACCTGCAAGAGAGAAAAAAGAAGCAAAATTACTTTCAGTACAGCTCTGGGCATGGCACATGAACTGGAATTTGTTTAATTCAATGAACAGAAAACCTGATTAAAAATAATCAGATTGGTGCAACAGAGTGAAGGGCATGCATTTAAAAAGCATGTTTCCGGACACAGGATGTCTCAAAACGCTTCACAGTCAATGAGTGCTTTTTAGTAAAACAAAGAACTGTGGATGCTGAAGACTAAAATCGAAACAGAAATTGCTGGAGAAACTCAGCAGATCTAGCAGCATCGAAGTGCTTTTTAACATCGTCAGAGTCAGATGACACCAGGTTAAAGTCCAATAGGTCATAAGCTTTCTAAGTACTGCCCCTTCGTCAGGTCTTGTTGGACTGTAACCCGGTGTCGTGTGTCTTCTGACTTTGTTCACCCCAGGCCAAAACCGGCACCTTCACATCATGTATTTTTAACATTATCAGCGTTGTAATGTCAGAAATGCAGCAGATTTTGCGTGTGATAAACTCCCACAAACATCTATGTGATACCAATGGGGTAATCTGTACTTTTTTTTCTTTATTCATTCACAGGGTGAGGGCATCACGGCCAGGCTGCCATTTATTGCCCATCACTGATTGCCCAGAGGGCAGTTATGAGTCAACCACATTGCTGTAGGTCTGGAGTCACATGTTGGCCAGACCAGATAAGGATGGCAGTTTCCTTCCCTCCCTCCCTAAAGGACAGATGGGTTTTTCCAACATTGGCAATGGATTCACGGTCATCATTGACTCTTAATTCCAGATATTTATTGAATTCAAATTCCACCATCTGCTATGGCAGGATTTGAACCCAGGTCTCCAGAACATTACCTGGATCAACATTCCAGCAATAATACCACTGGGCCATCACCTCCCCTGTTAGTGATGTTAATTAAGGGATAAATATTTGACAGGACATCAGGGAGAACTTACCTGCTTTTCTTCAAAAGTCATAAGTGACAGTTTATGCCCACTCATTCGAGCAGGTCTTGGTTTCTGTTTCATCTGAAAGATAACAACCTCTGGCATTGCAGCACTCACTCAGTAAGGCACTGTAGGGTCACCCTTAATTTTTAAGTCTTGGAGAGGGAAATGAGCTGAGAAATCTTGTGATTGAGAAATGTAACTAACTGAGCTGTGGCTGAGATTAAAGAAGCAAAATCTGATTTCCACCACTTTGTATAACTGTTATGTTGGCTTATCACTGTGGAATTCTATTGACAGTATTTTGTCCTGCAGGGTAATAATAAGAGATAGAAACTGCCAACTTCTCCAAACACTAATTAATGTGTTTTAATAGGAGCGATTACTAAGTCGTCGATTATTGTGCACATTAAACAGTGTTTGTCTGTTAAACAGGTTTGCAATGTTTGAAGATTGTTTAGAATTCTACTGCTCTGTGCTCAGTGATTCCCTTAACAAATCTCATATCGATATATTAGTCCAGTGGGGAGTCATTCTAGTTTGATCCGTAACTCTATTCATATGATCAGCTCACAATTCTCAGCCATAATAACTGGAGGTACCGCATCTATTTTCCGTCACAACCAACATGGCGCCCCCTCCCTATTCCCTCTCTCCACTGGTTCATTCATTTCCCCTCTTTCTCTTGGGGAACATTCCATTATTCTCCAGGTTTTGATTCGGACTGGAGCTCAACTGTCCAGGGTTTTTTTGGAGTCCCTAAAAATTTAAAATTAGCACTTATGTGAACAAAATAGAAGGATCATAGGGCGTTACAATACAGTGTTTTCTCGTCCAATCTTTAAACATTTATTTACCGCAAATGGCATTTTGATGGTGGATTCATGTTTTGTTTTTGACTGACAATGAAGAATTATCCAGTTGATTGATGGTGACTCTCTTTCCCTTCCCTGTGTCAGGGTAAGAAGGTGGCTGTCAGGATGGACATTTGAAGGGTTGTTAATGGAACCACCAGACTCTATCCAAGTAGATTTCTCAATGGTACCTCCTTGTTACTCCCCATGCTTTAGCTAGTGCAGATATTGAATGCGCCTGAGCTGGGAGCAAGATCCTAAATGCACAACACATTCATTTATCATTCAGTACATGATAACACCCCACAGCTGCTCATCAACTCTGCTGTGTTGTTTTTGGATCAGTACTGAGATGAGGAGAAATTTCTTCACCCAGAGAGTGACAAGCCTGTGGAATTCACTACCAAGGAAAGTGATTGAGGTCAAAACACTGTGTTTTCAATAAGGAGGTAGATCTAACTCTTGTGGCTAAAGCAAGCAAGGGATGAGGGAAAGGCAGGATTAGGGTATTGAGTTGGATGATCAACCATTGATTATATTGAATGGTGGAGCAGGCTCGAGGGTCAAATATCTTAATTCTGCTCTGACATTCTATGATTCCATGTTGCTATGGAATTACAGGTGACGATGAACTGGCTGTTATCTCACAGTAGTTAAAACATCACTGTATCCGGGAGTGTTCATAGCCAAACCACAATGTGAGCCCCTTACCTGGCAGTTGCTTCTCGACTCCCAATCCCAGGCCGTCCTTTGTCCACAGGACAATCCCATGATACCCTGCGACTGCACAGGACAATGTGACTGGGTGTCCTGCAACTACAACTCTGTCCTCAGGCTGTAGGGTAAATGAGGAAGCATGGCCTGGTGGAAAGAACATATTATAGCATGATTAAACATCCAAAATTGTGGCAGTTTTTTAAAAATGTAATTTTATTTTGAAGAATCTATTTCACTTAAATATGGTTCATTTAAAGTTGCAATTTTGAGAGTACAGTTGTGACTTTAAATTTGACCAAGTATAGACCTAAATCACTCAAGCTCTCCTCATAAGACAAGACTTTCATCTCTGGAATGACTCTTGTGGGCCTTCTCTGAACTTCCTCCAGTGTAATTACATCCTTTCTCAAGACCAAGACTGTATGCAGTACTCCAGATGTGGTCTCACCAATGCCTTGTACAATTGCAATGACACTTGCCCACTGTTAAATCCAGTCCTTTAAAAAAATGCCATAATTCCATATACTCTTATCACCTGCTGTACCTATATACTAGTTTTCTATGACTCATGCACAAGGAAACAAAGATCCCTCTGTGCTGACGCACTCTGAAGTTTCTTCCCATTTAGATAACACCTGCAAACTTGAATGTATGTCCTATGTAGTCAAGTCTAAATCATGACCATTAATGAAAAAGAGCAGAGATCCTGATAATAACGCTTAGGGAGACAGGAAGGGAATAGGTAAATCCAGGATACATATCTTAAAGAAAATTGTAAGAGTGCACTTGGGGCACAGATCATTCCATGTAAAAGGAAAATTCCATTCCTATAAAGAGTACAGAGATATGGAACGGACACCCAGATATAGGAGTGAAAGGAAACACCATAAAATTATTAAGAATTACTTGAAAGATACAATGGGGAATGTTAGCGTTTGTGGACAAGGTGTTTCATGAGCCAAAATTATCATTGATTTTCTTGTAATGAAAATCCATGATCAGCTCTGGTCTGTCAATGGAAATGAGGAAACTGTTGGCCCTGCTCCACCAACTAAGCTTCTGACTGAACTGAAAGAGTATGACATTTGATGAAAGATTAGAATGAATTGCATTTGCATGGCACCTTTCACAACCTGAGGAGATCTCACAGTGTTTTACAGCCAACAACCTACTTCCTGAAATGTCACAGTTGTAAGAAACACAATCAACAATTTTCACACAGCAAGCTCCCATAAACATGACTTATCAGATAATATGCCTGAGTGAATATAGTTAAGGGATAACTATTGACCCAAAGAACAGGAATAACCCTTTCAATCTTCCTTGAAAGAGTGCATGGGATATTTTTATGTCCAGGAGACTCAGTTGAATGTCGCATCTTAAATATGTTACATTCATTTGTCTCAGTATTTCTAAATACTCTAGAATGTGCCTTAAAAGCACAAAGATAGTAAGAACTGCAGATGCCGGAGAATCTGAGATAACAAGGTGTAGAGCTGGATGAACACAGCAGGCCAAGCAGCATCAGAGGAGCAGGAAAGCTGACGTTTCGGGCCTAGACTTTCTGAAGAAGGGTC